GGAGTCCCAACTTTCCTTGAATTTTTGGATAGTTTCCATAAAAATATAAATAAATATACGGATACATGTGGAGAAAATTACTCAAGTCCACACTAATAATCTAGCATTCTTCCAAGCAAATTAGAAATGTAAGAAAATATGCTGTAATAGCATAGCACCAGAGAAAACAAAATGAAGACATTATTGTAGTGGAAAAAAATTTGTTCACAAATTTTTATTTTCATTACAAATATAAAAGAAGTATAACACTGCTTTAGAGATAAAAATTTTCTACCAAAATGAATATGAAGTCCTATTTTAGTGTACATTAAAGACTCTTTCCAGAGAAAAATAAGCAAGCATAGCAGAAATGTACATACACTGGACAATTCTATGTAACAAAATTAGTTTAATTTATTTAAATGAGAGATTGGACAACTCAGTCAGATTTTAATCAGCTTGTATCCAATACATTGTTAGGTACATAATGGACATTCAGTAAATATTTGTTGTCAAAAAGAATAAATGTGAATTTAACCTTATAGATACCAAAAATTAAACTGCTTATTCTTACAGGTATGCAGTACATTGCTTTTAGCAAACATGAACTACAAGATGATATTCTAAAATGTCATTTCAAATCTTAACAAGTAATTTTCAAAAATGTTATAAAATTAACATAAAATGTTTCCCCACATGAAATTACAGTATGTTCTATTTTCCCTCAGGAATTTTGTTTTCATACTTTAAAAAAAAAAATCCTAGTAGGTTGTATATTGATGTAGGGTTTATCGCCAAGAGAATAGGTTGTTAAAATCTAAATGTTAGTAATGCCCTACTCTGAATTTGTAACAAAAGGTGATATTTTAAATGGCTTGACCTTACTTAGATCAAAGTAAATTACCACAAGATAGTTGTTTCTCTTTTGTTTTCATTTTGTACCTTGTTCAGGTGATTGATTTTTCTTTTTCATAAAGCAATGCATTTTTTATCGTTGTTGGCTGTCCAGAACAGGAATCCAAACCTTTGACCTTGGTGTTATAACACCATGCTCTGACCAACTGAGCCAGACAACCCTGGTTTTTTAAACTTACCTCGCCCCTCCTATTTGGCCCGATCTTTCTCAAAAGAGGTAAGATAAGGAGGAAAAATACTAATTTGAGAAATGCAACTGGCTCTAAAGCCTTCGTTTTGTGTCAACTCAAAGGAGAAGAGACAAACGCTGCCAATTCAGTGTAAAGAGAAAAATACAGAGATCTCTGCACCAGCATACTGAAATCCTGGCTTATCTGATTTTGAAATACAGAATCTTGGTAGGAGAAAACTAACTTTCCTAACAGTGTGATTTATCCAATAAAGAAGGAAAAGGGAAACCTGTTCCACACATGAAAAGGTTCCTATTAGAAGACAATTGGCTCACCTGTCATTCACAGGCTTGTAACCAGGGGGCCTATCCATGCAGCAGCCAATTATTAAATTTCTGCTTTAACCAGGCAATGGAGAGAAAGAGAAATTACCCACTGTCCTTTCCCTCAAGGAGCTTATGATTTAATGCAACGAACAAATGAACTATGTAGCGTCTCTGTGGCACTTTGCCATACACTCCAGGCGGCGCAATAATTAGCGTCCCCGCGCACCTGACGGCCATTCGCAGCGCTGGGAAGATCTGACCTCAGCAGCCCTCCGCCAAGAGGCCACACACTGAAACGTCAAAATTTAACAAAATACACGAGGAATGGGGCCCTACATATTAAATGAAATAAATGAAGGTGGAAAGGCATGATTTGGAAAATACAAATTCATTCATTTTAAAACTTGATCCTTTGATAATGTTAATATAATTGCAATGGGGTCCTTCTTTTAATGGTCATAAGAAATCCATACTTATTCTTATGAATAAAATAACAGAACTTTATTAACTATGACCCAATTTAAAAATATCTATTATGATGTCTAAAACATATTTTACCCTTTGATTAATCTAATATAGTTTAAGCACAAACCATACACAAAATTTTATGCCGCTCTTTATGTGAGTTGTTTAATCCTGGTTCTAGTTGGAATTTTTGGCAATACCTGTAACCATCAATCCACCCATAGTACCTAATAACTAAGAAGTTATTTTTTTTCTGTTTATTTTATACTTTGGTCTCTTTCCATGTATATAAAATATGCACACTCGTGGATGTAGATAGTCACATAAAAATCATTTCATAGGTGTGATTACCAAATAATAATGTTTTCTCTAGGAATCATATTTGATCACACAATTCCTGGTATTTGATTTGGCACTTTGAAGAATACAGCTTATTCCTGACTTTAATATATGTTACACTTACAGATGACCTACCCCCATTCGCCACAGCCATAAAAATGAATGCAAGCATAAAGGAATTAGTACAAAAATATGCACTCATAAGCATGAAAAAATGGAAAGAAAAAGATGTTGTGGTAAACAAAAACCACTAAGGGAAACTAGCCGTGGAGAAGCACTCTCCCAATAATGAATTCCTTGCTCTGATATTCCACCAGTTGAACATTAAGTATGGTTAATAATACATACCAATCTAATCTTACCCTCTAAAACCAGGCTGCTGGAGGTAATAGCAGAAGGGACAGAGGGAGCAGAGGAGAGAGGATGTGGGTAGGGGAAAGGAATACCCTAAGAAGGGAGAAAGAGAAGTCAAGGGCAGTCTTCATCTCATCCACAATTTTGCCTTCAACTGTGCCTTCTAGAAGAAACGTGAAGGAGACTCTGTTTTCATTTTCTTTCTCTTTTCAGCAGTAAGTCCTCCTCCTTCTCCCAGCCCACCCCATTTGGTAAATACAATATAGACGAATATAATTTGCCTACATATGTGTCATATAGGCTTTGGCAAGCTAGCCTGGGGACCTAAAAAACCTCATACTCTCAGTTCAGTGAGAAAGCTTGCTCTAGATTCAAAACAAGTTAAAGGCAGCAAATTTATAGAATACCTACTCTGAGTCAGATACGCTGGTAAAATACTGATTTACAAAGATGAATCAGCTGTGGTTTCTGCTCTCAAGGGGTTCACAGTTCACCCACCAACCCACAGGGGTGGTTTTGTAACAATCACTTCACAAAGTGAGGGGAGGGTAAAACCTAGATTAACTGGAGCTAAATTAACCAAGCACCCCAATTAACCATAATCCTCACCCCACCCTACATCCAAACTCACCTTTCAGTGGTAAGTGTTAAATCATGCCCATCCCAGATTTTAATCCAAAAAAATGTTATAATATTCTAGAATCATGGAAACGTATGTTACTCCTTAAATGCAACAAATAAACCTAAGCCATAGAAAGATCTTATAACATTGATAAAAAAATTAAATTGTATTTAGAAATCATAAAAACAGAAAGGAAAACATGTTTTAGAAATTTTATTCAAAACCAACAGTACAAAAGTGTTAACCAGAAAACTCAACCAAAACCCCGAGTCTTTTGTCGTTAATATTTTTAATTGTGTAAGCTATTAAGTCGGTCTATTACAAATCCTAATTCAGCTATTTCCTAGTTGTGTGACTAGATGAGGTAAGCTGTCTGTGCCTTGGTTTCCTTGTTTGTAAAACATAGGTGATAACAATAAACATGTAAAATGTTTTTAACAGTGTGTGGCACACAGTAAGTGCTCAGTAAAGGTTGGCTACCATTATCACCATCATTATTAATTCGCTGTCTTGTATAAATAGTCTTATGAAATGAATACCCTGATAACCAAATAAATGCATGCTGTGTTGCTCCAAATGCACTCAACATTTCCCAGAAGAAGTGAGGCATTAGGCAATCAGACAAAATGGGCCGCCTTAGAAATGTCCAGAGGGAAATAAAAACAAAAAACAAACAAAAAAAGTGAGAAGAAACAAACTAAAAAAAAAAAAAAAAAAAAAAAAAAAAGCGGGGGAGAAAGTAAGAAATATAAAATAAAATAGCATCCAGAGGAATGCAGTAAGTCCATGTCTGGATGTTTGTAAAGCAAAAAACCCACTAACCACAAAAACAATAACAAAAAATGATTCTAAGAGTCACTGCTTCCCATCCATCTTCTTAGCCTTCATATTCTAATGTGACAATGAAAACAATGAATTCTTAGATTCCTCAGACTATCGATGTTGGGTGATAATTGACATCTTCCTTCCCACGACTCCTTATAAAATATGTGGTGTTGGAGGAATCAGGTAGTGAGAAGAAAAATAGAACTTTATAGTAAGGGGTGCTTATCAGAAAAATCTTAGTTACTTCTAACCTAACCATTTATTTGTTGGTAAGAATTTGTGGAGTATATCTTAATCATTTCACCTCGTGCTTAGAGTATATTGAGATGGTAGACCCAAGGTAGATGAAAATTGCTTCTGGTGATATTTAGGTTAAATTTTTCAGTTCAGAAAGGAAATATCAGCATGGGTTCATACTTTAAAATAATGGTTCACATATTTGTCTTATGAGAAACTTCCTCTGCATGTGGTAGCCCTTTGTGACACTGTCACCCTTGGATGAAAGTGGTTAAGGAGTCAATTTAATGATGGATAATGTAGACATACTTTTATAGCATAAAGTAAAATCCCACTAGCTGAATCACAATGCAGGCAAGAAATGAAATGAGTCCTATCAAGCTTCTATTTAAGTCTGTCAGCCTGCAGCCACTTCCATTAATTTTGAGAGGGGGAAAAAAAAGAAGCTTCTGGATTTTGAATGACTCCCACATTTACATGAGGAAAATTGTAAATGCTCAAGAAACCCAACGAAGGCCAATAGTTTTGGATTCACAGTAATTGCATACATCTTATTTAAAAATCCTCCCTAGCAGTATGTGCCTGTTACCTGAAGCGATGGAGCAGGCCCCAGTTTTATGTCTGATTCTAAACCTGGGCCTACAGTACAAGACATAGCACCTGCTGTGGCCTCTGCTCTGTCACTTTGCCATGCGATTCTAATGTAGTTTTACTTGAATAACATAAAATAACATATATAATGTTATTTATGTTATTTTCCACGTGAAGAACTCCTGTAAACCTTGCCGTTTTGAAACTCAGTGAGGCAGGCGTCTTAGACAAGCTGAAAAACAAATGGTGGTACGATAAAGGTGAATGTGGACCCAAGGACTCTGGAAGCAAGGTCAGTCGCTGCAGTTCGGGGCCTCCTCTTGTGTTCACAAAGCAGTAAACGGGAGCAATTGTCAGAAGTATATGGAAACAATAAAAACTGAACATTTCTCTATACCCTCAGCCACTGCCCATATTATTAGCTATAATGTCATAAATTTCAGCCACAGAACTGTCTTTTTAGGAAACTGCAACCTGCTCCCCAATATTAAGGCTTTTAAATAAACTTAAATTAACTGCAAAAAGATACAAAACAATAAAATTTCTTATACTATTCTCAAATTTACGTACCACTGATAAAAGCAGTGTCTTTTGGTTAGGTTTTTGTTTGTTTCAGAGGCAAAGACGATGAAATCTATTATTTCAAGAACCGATGTATTCTCAAAACAGGACATGGGAAATTGATCCGTAGTCATCAGAAAAAGAAGGTTCTAAATATTAAATAAACGCTTATTCAGAAGTTCAGTCTTTTGTCATCATATTGCCAAGCATTCCACTTTAGTTTGAAGAGGCCCTATTATATATCTGCGCTGACAGATAAACAGAGGAAACCTTCCAACTCTACTCTCCGAGAAGAAATTATTTCAATAAATCAATGTTTATGAATAATATCCTCAAGTTCTAAGATCTCTTATTCATGAATTCTTTTTAGAACAATGCAGGAAACTGTAGGCCTAATTCTGTTGAAAGTAGTGTAAAAACAATTATATTTTTATTCTAAAGAAAAAAATGCAACAAGTTCATCAGTGAATCTAAACACCTACACAAACTAATTGACTATAGTAACAGTGCCTGAAAGCCTGAGGTGAAGATTCTTGGAATCCTTTTACTTTTTTCTGTATCTTCTAGCAAAAAAACAAATTATTGGTTATTCTAAGACACTAAGTAAGTAACAGGTCTAAATAGGAGAGCCACAATTAATTTAAGAAGAAGGCAAAGTAAGGTTAATTGATTCCTTTTTTAGGCCTTATCCTTGCATTTTAATCAGTTCTGCCTGCTTTTGAACCAGAGTGGAATGAGACAAGCTTGGCCAAATAATGAAATAGTTATCTCAAATCTTGATGTAAAATCAGAGAAGCATAAATATTTAATGAGTGATTAATTTAAAAATGAATTTACCCTAAAATTTTTGGTGCAGTCAGCTGATGTTGTGACCTAGTTGACAGAGTATATAGTGCATTTTTTGAATTAAACAGTCTCCTAATAAAACTATTTAATTGTCTGAATCACATTTTGCACAAAACAAATTGCTCAGAGGATGATGGGCACAGAGCATCCTTTAGGTAGTCACCCAAAGTAATTTTTAGATAATGTTATGCAATAAACGTATTTACAATTTATGGAAAAAATTCTTAATTTTGTTATAATTTTAATATCTTCCAATCATGCTCGACTGTTTCTGATTTATTATGAAAAAACATGCATACTAAAGCTCTGAAGAATAATAGTATTTACAATTTATGGAAAAAATTCTTAATTTTGTTATAATTTTAATATCTTCCAATCATATGCTCGACTGTTTCTGATTTATTATGAAAAAACATGCATACTAAAGCTCTGAAGAATAATATGTCTAAATATTAACTGATTAAACATTTTTAAGTGGGAATGGAATTGTATTTTTAAATCAATAGAAATAATTATAAATTTGTCCATACATAAATAATTTATTTCTCAATTGATCATGTAATTTATATATTTTTAAGTTACCAAAAAAAGTTACCTAAGTGTTATGCATATATAATTATTCTTAAATAGTATATAATATGTATAAGTGACATTTCATAAGATTTCCCATATAGATGTAACTGAAAGAACAAATGATGTGTACCCTAGCACATTATTTGCATTTTTTGGTAAAGAAATAATGAACAAAATGTGAAACTACTGTTTTAAAGATCCTTGGTTTCTTAAGTAGGAAATGTGGAGTTAGATTTATTCAAAAGAAATCTGAAACATTAAAAGTATGTTTTAATGGAAACAAAGCCAAAAGAGGTCCCCTTTCCCATGTAATTGGATTTTAAACATCATTTTCAAACTTAACAATAATAAGCCCACTTCTGCCACCCTATGTAAATATATAAATGCTTATGTATGGCTAAGTAGAGTGGTTTTCATTGCATATTTAATAATGATAAAATGTTACAGATTTTGTGGAATGTAATTACATACAGTTTATTGGTAATCATCATAATTTCACTTCTCCCAAGAGCTATAAGCTTATGTTTAAATCCATAAACCTACATCAGTAACTTATACTTGTAAATAACTTCAATTTAAATTAAGCATTTACTTTAATTGACTTTTTTGGATTTCATGTGTTCTTTTACCTTTTGGATGTGACATTGCTGCAGTTAACTGAAGTGTCTTTATCCTCCCCCAGGACAAGACGAGTGCCTTGAGCCTGAGCAACGTAGCAGGCGTCTTCTACATTCTGGTTGGCGGCTTGGGCTTGGCAATGCTGGTGGCTTTGATAGAGTTCTGTTACAAGTCCAGGGCAGAAGCGAAGAGAATGAAGGTGGCAAAGAGTGCACAGACTTTTAACCCAACTTCCTCGCAGAATACCCAGAATTTAGCAACCTATAGAGAAGGTTACAACGTATATGGAACCGAAAGTATTAAAATTTAGGGGTAGGACTTAGGGCCTACTACAGTGAGTGGGGGATGCATCCTGTGAACGCGGTGTTGTGCCCTGTCTGTCCAGTGATGGTATTGCTTGCTTCTAACTAGAGCTTTATATTTTTGGAAACTTCAGTGCAAAGTGGTTCTATTTTCTTTGGCTGCAGATGTACTGTTTGAAACTTTATGTTGCCAATAGATATCTGCATTGCAAGGGTCAGAAAGACAAAAACAAACCAGAATTGCTCTGCGAAACAATTTAAACCGCATATTCTACCTGAAATTTGGGAAAAATTGGAAATTAGATCTGGGCCTCCTTGCACACAGACCATGCAAATCTTCCCTGTAACAATCCAATTTCAGGTTAGATGCTAACTAACTAAAATAAGCACAAAACCTGTTTGAAGTGATCAAAACCTAGACAGTTGCCTATTTTTGATAAAGTCATATTGTTATCTGAAAAACAGTACAAGTAAAACCTCTAAGGCACATGGCATATGCTCAAAGAATTTTAGCTCTTATTCTAATTTGTTTTACATTAACCATCATTCTATATTTTTAAAGTGTGAAACCCCACAGTTTGTTCATCTGACAATAGTCCTTGAGCCAGACCTTTAGGGAGGAGTTATCATCAGAATTTTGACTACAATCCACATTTATTAAATGAAATTCAACTTTTATGTACATAGTAATACTAAGACAAATAAGCATTTTAGGAAATAACAGCAGTTTTGCCATCGAAGATGTCAGCAATATATGTGTCCTATAGGAGCGTGCAGTGAAAGATAAAAATTGCAGTTGAGTTATGACCTTTTTCTTAATTTCAATTGCTTTTAAACAAGCCATATCAATTCCACTTACACATTTCTCATTTTGTCACAATAAAAATTATAAGTATTTAGTGAAATATAGAAGATAAAGATCATTTTTTTAAGAATCTAAATGATACACTTCTTCTTTGATCTTAAGATCTGAAAGGATTTGTCAGGTCTCTCAAATCCATTTTCTAAAATTATACATAATAGCCAACAGAATAGGTTGCTCATTGTGATCACAATGATAATTGAATCTTTGAACCTTCAAGAGACATTCAGTGCTTGATGTACCCTAGAATCAAAAACCTGATGTAATTTTAATAAGGTGTACATCTGAGGTTATGCCAGGTAAATGTGCTTGATTTTGATGTTTATATAAAAACTATTGAAATACTTGTTAATATTTTAATAGACAAAGAACAAAAGCCATCTGTTTTTATCAAGATCTAATTGCTTTTATCGATAATCTAGAAATCAATGACTGAATACAACTGCACACAGATAAACTAAAAATGGTTCTTTCCCAATTTTGTGAGAAACAGCTAAGAACTAAACCCTAAATTCACTCAGACCAAAACATTTTGAACATGTCTTTTGATAGCAAAACAACAAACTGGGACGATGTCAAGGTATCTTGGCATTAGGAGAATGCTTTCATTTTTCATGTTTACAGAGTGGAGGAGAGATTTTCCCAACATGAGAAAAAAAATACTTGGCCAGTTTTCAGAGCCAATTATTTGGACTGCATTCCGAGATCAATTTTATAAAATGTCTTATAAAAGTTTTGTTACAGATTCATTAAAACTGACTTTTCTTTGACATATCAAAGACATTCCAACCATCAACAAAGTCCAAGGGCAGGGAAGCAAAGAAAAGAAAAAAAATATTTGAAAATTTTAGAAAGAAATACTCATGGATGCCTGTTCATTACAAAGTTCTGGGAAGTTGTTAATATATGCTATAAATTTCCAGATTATGTACATACAATTTATATGTAATTATGTTTTTGGAGACAGACCTGGCATTGAAGTTCATCATGTGAATTGCCTTTAGAACTACATTTGAGCATTTAATGCAATACATTTCAAATTTTTTTTAAAAAAGCATTCATAGCCATCATAGCCATCTGACTTTGTAAAAGACGGTGGCATTCAGGTAAATGAAATGATTTGCACTTGTAAAGAAGACTTGAGCTTAAGCAATTTTTATTTTACTCTCAAATTAAATGGCTTTTTTCTTGCAAAACTTTATTGACCATAATTATGCAAATGATTGTTAATTTAGATAATATTGTCCCAGAATACTCAAAACAAAACCTGAAACCTTCAATACGTGGTAGAGTATCTTCTTAAAAGTGGTCATCCCTTAAGGGAACATATTCATTAAGGTAACAACCATTAGCCACTTATCCAACCAACTCAGATAATATGCAAACTTTTAAGAAAGTTTTCTAATTTGAGGAGCCTCAATAGGTTTGCATCAAGATGAGTAGAAATTACATTTTATGGAAAAAGCAGGAGGTACAAGTATAGGAAATAAAAAAGCTAGAACAGATTTAAAGGGAAGACAGGAAGTTGGCAAAGATTTATTAACTAATACATTCAGTTACATTAATCTATAAAAGAGGAGAGGTTATTTGCGAGTACATAGAATCTTTCAAGCTTTGGAAGCATTTCTTCACAAAAGTAACCAATAAAAGAAAAAAAACAAAAATCGATTTTATGGCAAAAGCTTTCTGAAAATGCTTTTTAAAAATCACAATGCTGGGCCGGCCCATGGCTCACTCGGTAGAGTGCGGTGCTGATAACACCAAGGCCGCGGGTTCGGATCCTATATAGGGATGGCCGGTTTGCTCACTGGCTGAGCGTGGTGCTGACAACACCAAGCCAAGGGTTGAGATCCCCTTACCGGTCATCTTTTAAAAAAAAAAAAAAA